ATTTAGGGTTTTTCCACGTAAATTTTGTGTCTTCTTTATCTTCATTTTTATTTTATCAAATTATCAGTTGTGATTTTACTCAATCCGATAGCCGTCTTCCGCAACAATTGGTATCCGAGCTAGATTAGAGTGTGAAATATCTGCTTATTGTCTTTGTGGTTGCCACCAAGGTGGATCCTCCAACATAAGAAAGTAAGAAGTTGTTACTCATTCTTTGAAGGTTCCAGAGAACTATTCACGATAGTGAAATAATGGGAGCTATCCGTAAAAGAAGCTATGGCAACGAAATTTGATATTGAAAAATTCAATAGGAGAAATTTCTCATTGTGGAAATTGAAGATGAAGGTCATCCTGAGAAAAGATGGTTGTCTAGCAGCTATCAGTGAAAGACCGGTAGATTTCACAGATGAAAACAAATGGATCGAAATGGACGGAAATGCTATGGCAAACTTTCATATAGCATTAGCAGATGAAGTATTGTCAAGCATCGAGGAGAAAAAGACAACTAAGGAGATATGAGATAATCTCACCAAATTGTACGAGGCCACATCGCTGCACAATAAAATTTCCTTAAGATAAAATTGTACACTCTTCATATGCCAGAATCTACTTCAGTGACGGAGCACTTAAACACACTGAACACTTTATTTTCTCATTTTACATCCTTAAGCTGTAAAATAGTAGAACAATAACGTGTTGAACTTCTAATTCAAAGTCTATTGGATTCGTATGATCAACTCATCATCAACTTGACAAACAGTAATGTCATCAGTCTAGTCTTCGATGACGTTGCAGCTGCTGTTCTACAAGAAGAAAACCGGTGCAAGAACAAGGAAGACAGACAAGTAAATCTGCAACAAGCAAAAGCGTTGACAACGATGAGAGGGAGATCAATAGAACGTGGCCAAAGCAACAGTCACAAACATGGTAGATCGAAGTCGAGAAGCAAAAAGAATTTAAAGTGCTACAACTATGGAAAGAATGGTCACTTGAAGAAGGATTGTTGGAGTCTAAATAAAAACTCTAATCTACAAGGCAATACTGCAAACACTTCAGATGATGGAGATGCTCTCTGCTGTGAAGCGTCAACCACCGTAGAAGGTAGAACATATGACTCATTGATTCGGGAGCAATATATCACATGACCTCAAGAAGAGAATGGTTCCATCATTATGAACCTGTCTCAGGAGGATATGTGTATAGTTGCAATGATCATGCCTTAGAGATCATTGGCGTGGGAACCATCAAATTGAAGATGTATGATGGAACCATCAAATTGAAGATGTATGATGGAACAATTAAAGTTGTTCGAGATGTGCGGCACGTGAAAGATCTGAAGAAAAATTTATTATCCTACGGATTGTTGGATAATAATGCAAGATTGAAACACAGAAAGGAATCATGAAGGTGTTCCGTGGAGTGCTTGTGGTGCTGAAAGGAGAGATAGATGCAAACTTGTACATGCTGAAGGGAGAAACTTTGCTAGAAGCAGAAGCCTCTGTTGCCTCATGTAGTTCAGATTCTGAAATGCTATGGCATTAGAAACTTGGACACATGTCAGAACAAGGAATGAAAGTCCTTGTGGAGAAAAAGCTACTTCCAAGCTTAACAAATGTATCACTTCCTTTATGTGAGCATTGCATAACAAGTAAGCAGCACCGGTTGAAATTCAACACGCCAAATTCTAGAGCCAAAAGTGTTCTAGAATTGGTTCACCCTGATGTATGACAAGCACCAGTTACATCCCTAGGCGGAGCAAAATACTTTGTCTCATTTATTGATGACTACTCCAGGAGATGTTGGGTGTACCCTATTAAGAAGAAGTCAGATGTGTTTTTCACTTTCAAAAACTTCAAAGCGCGGGTGGAACTTGATTATGGAAATAAGATCAAGTGTTTCAGAACAGATAATGGAAAAGAATACACAAGTGAAGAATTTGATGACTTTTTCAGGAAAGAAATAATCAAAAGACAGTTCACAGTGGCAAACACTCCTCAACAAAATGGAGTGGCAGAGCGGATGAACAGAACCTTGTTAGAAAGAACAAGAGCAATGTTGAGGGATGCAGGCCTAGAAAAATCATTATGGGCAGAAGCAGTCAATACCGCCTGTTATTTGGTGAATCGAGCTCCATCAACTGCAATAGAGCTGAAGACACCAGTGGAGATGTGGACTGATAAACCAGATGATTATTCAAACCTCCATGTATTTGGAAGTATTGTGTACGTGATGTACAACGCCCAAGAAATTATAAAGTTGAATCCAAAATCCAGGAAATACAAATTCTTGGGGTATGCTAATGGAGTAAAGGGGTATCGCTTGTGGGATCCCACTGCCCGTAAAGTGATCATTAACAGGGATGTTATCTTTGTAGAAGATAAACTACAAAGAAAAGAAGACGATGATAGCGCTGAAAAGTCAGAGACTACACAGATACATGTGGAAAAAGAGTTTGAACAAGGAGATTCCTTTGAAGTAGAACCAGCACATGATGAACAAGAACCTGAGAGTTCTGAAGTTCCAACAACTCGTCAATCAGATCGTGTTAGAAGACGTCCCAATTGGCATTCAGATTATGTTATAGAAGGAAATATTGCATACTACCTTTTAACAAAGGACGGTGAGCCATCAACATTCCAGGAGGCAATAAACAGCTCAGATGCTTCACTGTGGATGATGGCGATGCAAGAAGAAATTGAAGCCATTCATAAAAATAATACATGGGACCTTGTGCCACTACCACAAGGAAGGAAGCCAATTGGTAACAAATGGGTCTTCAAAATCAAGCGAAATGGTTACGATCAAGTGGAGAGGTATCGTGCAAGACTGGTGGTCAAAGGATATGCTCAAAAAGAATGTATTGATTTCAATGAAATATTTTCTCCTGTGGTTCGACTAACAACAGTTCAAGTAGTTTTGGCAATGTGTGCTACATTGAACTTACATCTAGAGCAGCTAGTTGTTAAAACAACTTTTCTTCATGGAAATCTTGAAGAAGAGATTTATATGCTCCAGCCTGAAGGTTTTGAAGAAAAAGAAAAGAAGAACTTGGTTTGCAGGTTGAAAAAATCTCTGTACGGTCTAAAGCAGGCGCCGAGGTGTTGGTATAAGAGATTTGATTCCTTCATTATGTGCCTTGGATACAACAGACTTAATGCAGACCCTTGTGCTTATTTCAAGAGGTCTGGTGATAACGATTTTGTTATATTATTGTTGTATGTGGATGACATGTTGGTTGCAGGACCCAACAAAGATCATATTAAAGAATTGAAGGCACAACTGGCTAGGGAATTTGAAATGAAGGACTTGTGATCAACAAACAAGATTCTAGGGATGCAAATTCACCGAGACAGAAGTAATATAAAGATTTGGCTTTCACAAAAGAATTACTTAAAGAAGATCTTGTCACGATTCAGCATGCAAGATTGTAAGCCAATTTCTATCCCTCTTCCTATTAACTTCAAATTATCCTCCAGTATGAGTCCTAGCAGTGAAGAAGAGATGATGGAGATGTCTCGAGTACCGTATGCATCGGCAGTGGGAAGTTTAATGTTCGCTATGATATGCACAAGACCAGACATTGCACAAGCAGTGGGAGTGGTTAGTCGGTACATGGCGAATCCAGGCAAATAGCATTGGAATACAATAAAGAGGATCCTGAGATACATCAAAGGGACCTCAAATGTTGCATTATGTTACGGAGGATCAAATTTACTTATCAATGGGTATGTTGATTCTGACTATGTAGGGGATTTGGATAAAAGCAAATCTACAACAGGATATGTGTTTAAAGTTACTGGTTGAGCTGTAAGCTGGGTTTCAAAATTATAGTCAGTTGTGGCTACATCCACAATAGAAGCAGAATATGTAGCAGCTACAAAAGCCAGTAAAGAAGCATTTTGGTTGAAGATGCTATTGGAGGAGCTTGGGCACAATCAAGAGTATGTTTCTCTGTTTTATGACAATCAAAGCGCCTTGCATCTAGCAAGAAATCTAGCATTTCATTCAAGGACAAAGCACATACGAGTTTGATACCATTTCATTCGTGAAAATGTGGAAGAAGGGACGGTAGATGTGCAGAAGATCCATACCAAAGACAACATAGCAGATTTCATGACGAAGACGATCAACGCTGATAAATTTACCTAGTGTCGATCCTCTTGTGGCTTGTCAGAAACGTAAGCAACATGAAGGTACAAGGTAGAAAGAATGGTGTGAAGATATGATTATTCTAATCAAATCTTCAAGTGGGAGATTATTAGTTGTCATGCAAAATTATTAGTTGTCATACAACTAATAATAGTTGTATAATGCATAATAATGGTTCATAATGCATTGTAAGTTGGCAACAATAATGGTTTATAGTTGACACTAATAATGGTTGAAAAATGACATGGTAAAATCTCACATTTAGTCATTGTAATTTAGGGTATTTTTAAGATTAGTCCTTAAAGCTTCTACTATAAATACCCTAACTCATTTAGCTTCAAAACCATCCCAAAGCATTCTAGCTTTCTTCCAATACTAGAGAGAATTTAGAGAGTTTCTTGAGAGTTGTTTTCTCTTTTTTATCAAGAGAGAATTATCATTGTTTTCTTCTTGGTAGATTGAGAGAAGTTGTAATTCCTATTTTCTCATAGTGAAATTCTTCTATCGTTGCCCGTGATTTTTACCCACGTAAATTTTGTGTATTCTTTATCTTCATTTTTATTTTATCAAATTATCAGTTGTGATTTTGCTCAATCTGATAGCCGTCTTTCGCAACAACTTCAACCCCACAGAACCTCATCTTCCATTCTCTACAAATTAATCAAGTTTTTTTTCCCTAAGAGTTCATAGCTCCGCTCTTTAGAAAAAGGTCAGTTGCTTAATTAAACACAGATACTTCAAGTGTGAGCACTTTGTTGCATGAACGTACGTGTCGCTTATCTCATGCATATGTAATTAACTTTGTTGCTTGAAAGTTTACTAACTGAAGTTTTCATGGAAGGAAACAAAGCTTCCAAATGGCTAAGAAATCTGCCCAAGTAGGTGTTGAAGGGCTGAAGAAGACTCTCATCAGGTGCTTTCCATCTCTCTTTCATAGCATGAATGCTTCAGTCTCAACGTCATCCCAAATCCTTGAAATTAAACTTGCACCTGCACCGCTGTACCCTAGTTTTATAGGTAATAAACTCCATTTGTTTTCTCATTTAACAATGAATTATATGTTGGGTTGCAGTGAGGAACAAGTGGGGGATGAGAAGGTTCAAGCAAAAGTCGAGATGCTTATTGCCGAGCTCCACGGGACAAACCGTCTCCCTCCTAAAGACCCAGATGCTTAAAAGCTTGACCATGGCTTTCACTCCAAGACCAACATTTTCGAGTAAGATCTATCATCATTCCCAACTTACAACTCTAATAACACTCACCGACGGATAATCATTTATGACACTTTGTCTTCTGTGTTTTGCTTTCGGCAGCGCACATCGTGAATATTTCAGAAAAATTGCAGAAGGCCAGCATCCCTAGGATCGTCGTCAATATATAAATATGGTTTCATCTTAAAAACAATGATTAATGAATCCATTATGTTTTCAGTTTTTGGTGTTTTTATGCTCTGATTCACGAGTAAGCCCCTCGGTCGTTCTCAACTTCAAGCCAGGGGAAGCCTTCGTAGGCCGCAATATTGCTAACATGGTTCCTCAATTTGACCAGGTTATTATTTTGTTTTTTACTTTCCCAAACCCCGCTTTTAAGTGATTAAATTATATTCTCCAGCTAACTTGATTGATCACTTATTGCACAGTTGAGGCAAACTGAAATCGGTGCAGTCATCGAGTATGCAGTTAAAAGTCTTAAGGTGTGAAGTTAATTATATATATATATATATATATATATATATCAAGACAGATGAGTTAAAGTTTCCTTTGTCATGTAATAAAAGGAAGATATATAGCATCACAGTGCATTTAAAATTACAGGTAGATTAGTCATTGTGGTGGCATAGGGAGGCTTATGAATCTTCCAGATTGCACTCAGACTTAGTAAGCCTCTATCTATACTTTATATTAGAGCTCCATAGCCCAAAACAACACCGTTTGTGAGATAATTAAAACATATATATTGTGCAGTGACTTTATCGATGAATGGGTGAAAATTGGTTTGCCTGCAAAGAAGAAGGTTCTGCAAGAGGCTGGAGACCTGCCTTTTGAACACCAGGTGACCCTTTGCGAAAAGGTAACTAAAACACATGGATGGATATGTTTGTTGATTAAGAATATATGAATGCTTGCATGCAGGACTCACTGAGGAATTCGATGGCGAATTTACTCACCTATCCATTTGTGAGAGACGCTGTGGTGCATGGAACTATGACACTGAGAGGAGGTTACAATGACTTTGTTAATGGAAGCTTTGAGCAATGGAAGATGTGTACCCACTGAGCCTGAGGCCTCATCATAACTTTTTTCTGCATTTCTTCTGTGCAACTAGGTGCTATTTTTCTCTAAAATAATAAGTTGAATTTGTATTCTTTAGAGGTGTGATTTTCTTACAAGCTTCCCTCTTCTTTGGAGGATTTCATATGCGTAATTAATGCTTGATAAATTAATAAACTCCGCCTACGTATTGTAAACCAAATTTATAGTGTAATAATAAATGGCATTGATGTTGGGATTTGAGTTTGTTTTGATTATATCTCTTCTTTCTCTCTTCCCTAAAATAAAAAATTTAAATTTTACAAAATATTAAAAAAAATTCATGACGAATAAATTCTAGTGCATTAACTCACATCACTACGTGTATATATGGTTGTTAAAATGATCCAAAATCAAATGAGGGTGAAATATGCATTGACCTAAGCGAAGGTACAATTACTTTCATTCATATTTAAACCCTACGAGTATGGGTAATTAAAACTTGTTGGGGATAAAGTCGGCGAGGAGGTCGATGGATGTAGAGTGTTGTGGTAAGGATCCAATTGGTGATGAAACTAGTGGTGAGATGATTTGATTTAAAAAAAATGAATATATATGATTAACGTATAGACTATCTGGGCGATAGGTTCATCTACTATTGATCTAGATGAGGCGTGGTGAAATTTATGGTATGATATAATTTTGTCTGCAATTTTTTCTTTTAGAATATTTTACATAAATAGATGTATTCTTATTTATTTTTTATTGAATTCATGTTGGTTTGAAGGAGCTGGTGTTTATGATTGGATTTGACACTCGAGGGGAGGCCAAGGTACGAGGGCCAAACGTGATTTGTTTGACAAGATAACTTGTGTGCCTGCCCTGGGGCTACTGCTTCAATGATTGGTGGTCGGCCATCTTCCCATATCTACTTGGCTTTGTTCAATGATTGGTGGTTGCCCGATCTTCCCATATCTACTTGGCTTTGTTCAATGCTTGGTGGTAGGCCATCTTCCCATATCTACTTGCTTTTTTAAGTTGCTGCAATTGGGCAACATAAGCTTGCATGGGTTTGCTATGGATGTTTTAATGCTGACTAGGTGTGGAATTGCAGGCTTGTATTCGTTGCTGATTATTACACGGTCGAGGTTATCATTACTCTGGAACTGGACGTCTTGACCAATGGGCGATATGGGAACCCCCCACGCCATTCCCAAAACCAAATTCTATGCAAACCAAGACCCATCAGATGCAATAAAATGGTGTACGCCGTATGAATTCTTTTAAATCCACTATGTTTACATTATTATCTCTTCAAGGGAAAAAATATTGTAAGAAAAAAAACATGCTATAGATGTTCTTCCGTGTACAATAATTAAAATTTGCAACTCAAAAGTTGTTTTAATCCGATTGCTATGTAATTTTAAATACAATCAGAGAGCTCATGGAGATTCTTGGGTCCAGAGTTCGTAACCGGATAGAAGCGAGCTAAATGCAAAAGCAGCGAATGCTAGGAATGCCATTGCAATCGAGGCACTTGCCATTTCTGTGAACTCGTCTTTGCCCCAGTTTGATTGCCAATCATCCACTCGGGTGGCTGCTGCAGATGATGCTGAAATCAAAAGATAGGCCAGTATCTGCAACAAAAACCAAAGAAGCACTCATCAGCATTTTATTCTCTCTGCCCTTTCATGCTTTAATTCGTAATTCTATGCACTTCACACTCCTAGTGCTCATCTATTGCACTAAATCTATGAATATATGAACTCGACCTATCACATACAAGGGAAATCTAAATGATAAAAATGAAAATTATGCTGATAGAGTAAAATGACAATGCAACCTATGCCCAAAACTGAAACATACAAATCCATATGTGCAACCTATGTGCAAAATAGAACCATACGAGACAATGCCTGAATTTACACTCATACAAGAACAATGCAACTAATGCTAAAAAACAGAAGCATGCAAATCCATATTTGCAAAATTGTACCATACGAGTCAATGCCAGAAAATTACATCCATACTAGAACAATGTAACGCACGCACAAAGCAGAACCATACAAGCCCATGTCCGTAACCTATGTGAGGAATAGAACCATACAAACCAATGCCGGAAATTGTACTGATATATAGAACAATGCAACCTATGCCCAAAATAGAACCATACGAGTCCGTACACATATGTTGATGGACTCATACGACGAGTCCAAAATAGAGTTCCAATTGTTACCCATACTGGAAAATTATGTTGCACGGGGACGGCAAGGAAGGCCGTTTCAAGTACCCGAAACGTCCCTGGCACGGGGATGATACGGGGACGGCTGGGGAACGTACTGGGGACGTGCCATGCTGGCAAGGTACGGCCGAACGATATGGGGACGTTTCGGGGACGGCCTTCATCTGCCGTCTCCGTGCAACTGCAGCATAAAATGGCCGATAAACAAACCCTAGTTGCTGCTGATTTTGCTGCGACGAGCGGAACATCGACATACGAGTTGGAGTATTTCCATATTGTTGAGGAAAGTAAACTGGCTGTTGAGATGCATCGAAAGCGAAAGGAAAAACAAGTTTAGAAGATGGGAAAGAAGAAGAAGAAGGAGAACTAGTGGAAACAGGGGAGGATGAAGAGAACGAAACAAAGACGCAGCGGATTGGATCGGGTGCCAACCCAGATCCAGATCATCTCTCCAAGCTCAATAAATCTCTCTGTAGCGCCTTCTCGAATCGAGCCGAGGCAAGGTCGAAGCTACCCGAGCACTTCAAGACTGTGACCGAGCACTTCGAATCGAACTCATCCATTTCAAGACTCTATTCTGCAAAGGTAAGATCTTGCTTAGTCTGAACAGGTATTTAAATGCTTTGACTGCTTCAAAGCAGCTCTCTTTGATCCCCAAGGTAATGGGAATCTCAATATTGTTAATGGGTATTTAGAGAAATGTAAGAAATTCAGTTTCAAATTCCATTGTCATGTGTCGACAGAGATGAAAAAGGTTAAAACAACTTGCAATGTCTTTTTGTTGCTTACAGGAATACAATATCAGAAGTTTATCTTGATATTGAGAATGTCATTGCTTGATTTTGATGACACCTAAAGATCTTATTTTTTTATCTTAATTTAAATTTTGAGATTTGATATTTTAATATTATGATTTATTTATAGATTTTATTCTTTTAAAATTAATATTGTTGTTTGAGTCTTGATATTTGATTTTATTTATAATTTTTTTACATCTATTTATAATTTTAAAATTATTTTATATGTCGTTCCCTTGCCGTCCCCGTACCCGGTAATTTTAAAAATTACCGTTTCCTGTCCCATATCCATATCCGTGCAATATAGCTGGAAAATACTAATTGTTGTCGATCACAAAAGTAATGAATGCTATATACAAATTTATTAACTACAGTTTATTAGATTGTATGCTAATGAAAGACAACAAGAGTTATTTGTGAACTACCATTTATTATATATAGTAACAGGGTGGTAGCAACAAGTGCAAGGAGATAATAACAACAAAGAATGAAGCTAATTATGAAAGGTAATTTGCAACTATTAGTCTTCAAATTGAAAAAGGAAAACTTGCCTGATCCATGAAGAAGGCGAAAGGCAGAAAAAGGTGATGGTGGATGACATGCGTTTCTGTCATGAGATAGTGGGCTACATCATAGGCTTGAAACCCCGCATAAATAAACCCAATCACATTTACTGATAAACAGTACCTTCCAAATTTACACACACAATTAAACGGCGAATGGATATGGAAAACGCAATAAATAAAGGGAGAGAGGGGGGGGGGGCTCTATTTTGACCAAATTATAGCAGAATTTTAATTAAGCAAGCTTCATCAAATAAGTCAAAAGAGAAGAAACCTGTATTCTTTATAGCGATCATAAGAGTCACCACTCCAGCCTTGTGTTTTATCAGCAGCCATAACAGAGAAAGAAATCAAGCACAAAACGATCTCGCTTAATCGAAACCCTAAAGCCGCCATAATCACCCTATGATGTACCTTCGATCTCCTCAGTACCGCCGCCACTGCTCCCGCTCCTCCTCCGCCAGCTCCGCCGCTCACCTTGGTCCTCGTGGTTGCCCTCGGTCCCTCCTCCCTCACGGCGCGGTTCACTGTCAAATGCAACGAGTGTTGCGGTGGAGTACTCGGAGGAGGAGGCGGTGAAAAAAAGGGAGAAGAATTGGGGTTGAACTGGGTGGACTTGTCGATGGCAACGAGTGCCTTGGAGTTGTCGAAGGGGGGTTTAACGGGGGAAGCTTCAGGGGAAGCATAATTGGAGGTATTGTCGGGGTCGCCCTGCTCGGATCGTAGAGGGGAGTGCGGGGACTCGTAGTGAGTCAATGACTCGGAATTTGAAGAGGAGGATCGTTTCATGATGTCGTTGGGGGTTTGATTCCTCTTCATCGCGGCTTTGGTTTCCATTGCTTTCTTCTATCGCATTATAATATGCTGAGTGAGTGAAAGAGTATCGGAAAAGAAATTAAAATGAAAGAATTCAAGGCCAAGATAAGAAAGTCGCGGGACAATGGTCACATTAATTACTTCCCCACCTTTTCCTTTTCCTTTTCGTAGCCACGGCTACCACGTGGCATCTGTCTGGCTCTTTCTAACTAACAAACACCTGCCACGTTCTATTAATTATGACATGGCAGCACATTATTGGTTGACGGAGACACTTCAGTTCAGGCAGAATATGGAGATTTTACGTAACTCGATGGCAAAGGGTCTTCAATCATCATTAATATTTGATAGAATTTGTTAAAAAACATATATATAAATTCAAATATACTAAATCGAATAATTTGAGTATTCAATATTTACTAAGATATTATAAATTTATCATAAAAATTATACGATGAATTTTATAATTATTTTTAACTTTAAAAAATAAAATAACAAAATAATCGATTTAAAGAAATTATTGTTATGAGTAGATAATGAAATTATAAATTGGCAGTGGATGGAAAAGAGAATTCAATTGCTTAGCAATATCAAATTGATTGGGAAGGCAACTTTACAAAAGTAGAGTGATTTCTTTCCTTCCTTTTATCCTTCATTCTTTACGGTTTCTTTAAGAGTGGGCTATGCTTATGCTTTGTGATAAAAAAGGGCCACCACCATTTACAAAAGATTCCTACACCACTCTTTGCTTTACAACCATAAATATATTAGTAAACAAACAAACATGCAAAATTCCCATTTCAGAATAACCTTGTACACATCAAATGTTTTAACCGAATCTGATAACACCGCTCTATGTATGTGTGTATGTTAGGGCTAAGCCAAAGCAAACATCAATAACCGGACACCTGTGTACCACAAGCAGCCCCCTCAGCTAGGGTTTATTGAAGAATATACTAAAAAAGAGCATTCTTCCCTGTTTTCTTTCTTTTTTTTCCACTTTATCTCTCATATCATTAGACTTTCACAAAATCCAATGCTTTTCACTTGTCTAACACAACAAAAAGACAACCCCCGTCACTTCCTGCTTTTCTGAATACCCTTTTGGAATCACTGTAGTCTCTATATATAATCCACCACCCCGTAAATATAATTGGTTGGTTTACGCAAGGGAGGGGCAGTGAGTGCTACCATGTAAAACTCTTTGCAACCAGCTAAATGCGTGGCCTAGCTATGATATATTGAAATGTGCCCTCATCTTATCATCACTAATCTGATTATCATGCAGTGATAACTGAAGGAAGAATAGGGAGTCGTACAAAGTAATGTTTCTATCATGACCACTGGAATAAGATAAGTGACATGTTTCCTTATTAGTTCTATATTTGATCAATTTGCAAAATTGGTATACATCAAAAGAGTAAGAGATCTTAAGAGAGTAACACTCCGAGGAGTGCAAAAGAGAAGAAAAAAAAATAAAAAATATTGATCCTATCTTCTCCTTATCCATAACAAAAAGCATCAAACACAAGGGTTACCATAAGAAAGCGTTGTCCTCTAGAATATAGTTCACAAAATAGCAGCGTCAGATTCTTTTATCTCTTGTTGTGACAAAGTTGATGACAATCAGTCATAGACTGATTTCACTCTGGTAATATCAAGCGGTTGAATAGCACAAGGAAACTTTGCTCAGGCACAACGTAAAGGAAACCTAGATCAGCTCCTTTGACATAGGGTCCAATGCCCTGCATATGGCCAACCACAGGGATTTCTTTCAATTCAAATAGTTTGAAAAATCAACTAAATACTTTTGGTCGCAACTCACATCAAAATTATTAATACAAAGTCTCGAATATTTTGTTACCTTGCCATTAAGTTGGAGAAGCTCACCCTCAACCCATCGTGGGTTACGGACACCAAATTCTGCTATGCTTCCCTGACCTTTGTAACACACAACCTGTATTTTTAGAGTTTTTCCCATCAATTAGAAGTCTTAAAAGTCCAAATTAATGTTTACCAATATGAGGTTCTGAATGAAGTCCAATTTATATGAAAGAGATAGCGGAGATATTTTGGGCAAAATCTTGCATCAAATTCAATACTACATAGCATTGCTTCTCGCAATGCAACCAAAGGAGAAAGATGGAAGACGTACAAACTGATAGAGATAAACTAGAGTAATTACCACTCCTAACTCATCTGGATACAACCCACGGTTAGGGAGGCGGCTCTCTCTTCCAATTTTCGCACGAAAAGTAACCTAAAAATGTAAAAGGCGTATTGATTACCACATGCATGTTCTATCAACAACATCAAAACATAAAATTAACACTCTCATGCAAGAAATAAACAGGACAACAATCAATAGATTTATCTAAGATACAATAAAATGAAAAAGAACCTGGCCAGCCGGAACATTGAGATCTCCAGTAAGCTTCACAGCTTCAACATACTCAAAGAACTCAACATCTAAAGATAAACCATCAGCATCACTCCAGCGACCATATTTACGCCTCAGCTGAACTATCTCAGTTCCATAAGGACCAAATGCACCAACATAGAGGCCTGCAGTTCAATCAGCTTGTATCGATCAATGGTTCTAGTGTGTGGGGGAAGAAAAAAGATACCATACGAATACCCACCTCAAGTGGGTCCAAATTGCCATTGTCACTGCTAATTCGATTGAAATTTGTATACTCGGATAATCTGCTCCGCTTCTGTGCCTGACTAACAGCAAGTTTGACAATTTCACGCACATCTCTAGAGACCTAAAATAACATTAACAGTTAGTGTTAAGTTAAATCGAGCTAACAGTTAGTTGTATACTTATCAAACTCAGTTATTAAACGTCGACCTATACACAGCATCCATTATTTAAGGAAACTATATTTGGCCTCAAAATCAGCATTTCCTCCTATCTTTAAAATGGCACAAAGTGGTGATAAAGCAGCTACTCAGCACTTCACCAGCACTCGATAGGGAGCATGCTGACTATCATATCGACGGCAGCAAAATTGGTGTTTCTTTCGCTAAATTCAAACCTCGACATTCCTATTGGAGAAAGTCCTCGACAGGTGTTCTTCGTAAGTCCGAGATGGAAGATGATTCAAGGAAGAATCATTATAAAGCTGAAGGCGTTATAGATGAAGAACTTCAGGTGTTGAGCAATTGACTAGTGGAGTGTTGCAAAGAATTTATCAAAATCGGTCATCTCGCTAGACAAATGCATGCAAAGGGCCTCACTGGCTTCTCCTTAATGAGAGTTGTTGGTAATGTGGTATTAATGATTTTCGAAGACTCTGCTTCATTGAGAAGTGTGAAGAACGATAAATCAAAGACTCTTGCAGAGTGGTTCTCCATAGTCGAAGCTTGGTCAGAGAGTTTGGTAATGGAGTGTCGCCGAGTATGGTTAGTTTGCGAGGGTGTTCCGTTTCACATATGGAATTGGGATACTTTCAAGAACATTGCTGATTGTTGGGGTCAGTTACTAGCAATCGATGAAAGTTGTCAGTCACCATCATCCTTTGATTGGGCAAAAATTCAAGTCCTCACAAAGGTTGGTGCGAGAATTGATGCGACGTTGGAATTGAAGGTTGGTGACAACTCCTTCAAGATCATGGTGCATGAGATAGAGCCTTCATTCAAGCCAAACTCTTGGACTCCTGAAGAAGCCGAATCTCATTAGATCTCGTCTCTCTAATTGTGTTTTGATTTAGTTTATATGGTTGCAGGTGTTGCGTCTCTTTTGTATTATGTTCTGTTGCGTTGTTTTAATTCTATTGCTGGAGGTGTATTTAGAAATAAGGTGATTCGATTGTGACTTTGGATGAGGTTTTATGAGCTTAAGGTGTTTGTTGTAATGGTGAATATCACCATAGGAGGATATTCCATGTTATCTTTTGTATTGGGTATTATTATTAATAAACTTTGAGGTACTCTTTTCTTCCTTCCAATGTTCGTTAACATACTTCTTTGTATGTGAATGAATATGAAGGGAGTTTTTAATGAGACCTCCAACTTCTATCAAAAAAAAGAAAGAGTCGTTTGAATCCAACATCTGGAAGTGTTTCAGTTATGGTATGCTTATCACACTAAAAAAAGCCTTCGATAACACCAATGAGAAGAATGCCTGTAAACTATTTAAATCTTAAAGTTAATTATCTGAACCCAGTGGTTGAAATTTAAATCTCACCTTAGAAGAAGCTTTATCTGAACCCCAAAATGCCTTGGCAACATTTGGAGGCATAAGCTTAGAAACACCTTGAGCTGCAATAGCTGCTATTTTCACCTTAGATGCTTTACTTTCTCCATTATCACCATCTAAACTCCTCTTGGGGACATGTAGCAGAAAAGAATCTCTCTCCAAGTCCTTTATATCAGCTGGAAGATGGATATATTCATCCTTAGTAGGACTGTCCTCATTTTTATGGACAAGTCCACCTATAAAAACCTTCATATCCAGATCATTTCTGTCATCTAGATTGCCAGCCTGCCCCATGGCAACTCCATCAAGCTGCATCTCTTCGAAATCACTAGTTTCATCTTCAGAATTCTCAGTGGCAGCTGTTTTCTCATCATCTTGTATCAATTCCTCCACCGAATCATTAACTATTACTTCCTCAGAAACATCAACATTCATGACTTTGACTTTCAATCCAGGAATTTTATTTTTAAGAAAATTTATCACTTTTAATCCCTTCCTCAGTTGCTCCCTCGATATTTATTCCCTTCTCATCACTTCTCTCTGCCTTAGCTTCATCATTCCCCTGAACATCTATAACAGATGCATTCTCAACTTCAGAAGTGGATGGAGATTTTGAAGGCTTGGATGGTGAGCTCGTACTATTCGCAGAACTACCTTTTGCACGCTGTAAATAAACTACCTGCAGCATATGCCCCGTCAGAAGCATCTTCCATATTAGAAGGCTCTAGAGGACATGGTAGAGCATCTTTCTTGTGTGTGTGCAAGCAGAAAAAAGCTATTCATCCAGACAGAGATGTGATCATCCAGACAAATGAAAAATTCCTCAACAAGTCCAATATATGAAATATATGTACACACAAATTTTGAAAAATT